ATACAATATATATATATTATATATATAATATTTTATACTTTTATATTGTAATTAATATCAATATAATTCTTAATTATTTTGACAAGATAAAGATATGAATTACATATTGACGATAATATATTTTATTATAGATGCTTATTGCAATACTAAAATAAATTTAAAAAATGTAAACGATACTAAATATTTTGTATTAACAAATGGATGTTTTTACATTTTGAGAAATAAATATTTATATAACAAAAAATTACAATTATTTATGTTTATATTAATTTCCTATAATTTATTATATATTAATATAATTTTTCAAACGCTTATTTTTTTGTGTATACTTATACTTATGCAGACATTGCGTATATCTTCTTGTCAATATACATATAGATTACTTACGCGAGAAGATAATTCGCATATACTATATAACTGAAACTTTAATTATCATTCAGATTATAAATTGCTTTTACAGAAATCCAATTTAATATTAAAAGATCCTTCCTTCCTTTAATTATATGACTTTTTAAAGAAATGCGCTGACTCTTACTTTATCCTTTATTTATTGTTATTTATTTTATATGCTTACAATTATATAACTAACATTTATTCATAAGTATATTTCTGATAGCAATCTAATAAATAACAATACTATAAATTTTGAAAATTTAAACGATTTCGTGTACTATACAGCATGCAATTGTTTAAATTTCTCATGAAAGATCCCTCTTTCGCGCCTCTTCGACACCTCCAACGCTTCTATGCGTTCGTAACGTTCGTTCCGAAACTCATCAGGAAGAACCATCGTCCGGTGTTTTCCACAGTCGGGCGTATGCGCGCTCGTGAGTGGGGGGTGGGAGAATGCGGCTGTGTAGATACTAGATATGTGTGCTATTGTTGTGCGGCGTGGCCGCTACGTAATCTTCGTGTAGGTGTAGAATATGAGAACGTTGGTGCTGTTTGCGAATTGTTGCAGACGCCGCGAGATTTCAGAGTTGGAGTTGCCTTCACAAATTTGGCAGGTGGTTATCATTAAAGAGTGATAATCGCGACGGCGAAGAAAAAGAGAGTGGGCAGATTGCGTCTTATCTGCAGGTCGATGGGTATCTCGATTTGACGACGAGGATCCAGGATGCTGAGGTTCCTGTCACGACGGAGGGCGCGTGGCGTCAGCGGTCAAACCGCTTCGTCGCAGATCAAAAACCAGAGATTGCCCAGCAACAAAAATGTTGTGCAATGCAGGGTGGTACTTTTGGATGGCACGGATCTGCCCATAGAATTGTCGGTAAGTTTTTTCTTCTATCTCTCTTATTCTTAATTATTGTCATAGGTCCTTCTAATGTTTTTTTTATCTTCACATGATAATTAACATGAAGATAAAGGAGAAAGCATGAGACTAAAAGGACTTATTGTCCATACTTATCAATCAGACTAGAAACTAGAACATACAGTGACGCACTAAATGTCATACCGTTTAACACATTTATAAAATTTCCACGCTTTATAATTAATTGTATGTCAATTCTATCATTTTATTAAAAATAAATTGTTGTATATAAAGCAAATTGTGTAACACATTTCGTGCTCCATCCTGTAAATTCCATCTGTATATATATATATATATATATATATATATATATATATATATACTTATGTTGTTTTATAATTGTTGATCTTCTTTTGCAGAAAAAAGCATTGGCTAGTGACTTATACGAACAAGTATTTTATAGTCTCGATTTGATCGAAAAAGATTATTTTGGACTTCAATATACAGATAGCAATAATGTCCAACACTGGCTAGATCCAACGAAACCTATCAAAAAACAAGTTAAAAGTATGTGTGTCACTTTTTTAAAATTATTTTTAAAGCGAAAGAACGTAAACTTATATAATTTTTTGTCTAGTTGGACCTCCGTACACGCTCAGATTAAAAGTAAAATTCTATTCTTCGGAACCAAACACGCTGCGTGAAGAGCTGACACGGTACCAGTTCTTCTTGCAGTTGAAGCAAGATGTTCTGGAAGGCAAACTTCACTGTCCTCATCAAGTTGCAGTTCAGTTAGCTGCTCTGGCGCTTCAATGTAAGCTTATTCAAAAATTAAAATAGGTTTTTTACGGCTCAATTGACATAAATTAATACAATAATAATGCTTATTAGAGCCAACACAAGATGTCGGCAGGATTTGAAATTTAATTTATTTAAAAAGATTTCAAACAATATGCAAACATTTTGATCCAATTTTGGATCCTTATTAATGCTTATGATTAATTAAATTAGTCAGCTGAGTTGTAGTGTTGTGACGAAATATTTGCGTATTGTTTGAAATCTTTCTAAATAAATTAAATTTCACACCGACATCCTGTGTTGGCTTTAATAGACATTATTATTGTATTGATTTATTTAAGAAGTATTTTTAATAATTTTGTTACTACTAATAAAATTAAACTATAATAAAATTGTAGCTGTCATCGTGCGACAAATTATTGTACAATAAAAGAATGGAATTCTTATTCTAGCTGAATTAGGAGATTACGATCCTACTATGCACAGTGCGGCGACTGTGTCGGAATTCCGCTTTGTACCAGGCCAAACGGAACAGATGGAGCTGGAGATACTGGAAGAATACATCAAATGTTCTGGTCTCAGCCCGGCCCAAGCAGAATCCGCATATCTTAGCAAGGCTAAATGGCTAGATATGTATGGCGTCGACATGCACATTGTTCTTGGTAAAGACGCCTGCGAGTATTCTCTGGGCTTGACTCCAACCGGCATCTTGGTTTTTGAAGGCACACAAAAGATAGGCTTGTTCTTCTGGCCAAAGATCGGTCGTCTGGACTTCAAGAAAAAAAAGCTGACACTGGTAGTCGTAGAAGAGGACGATGAAGGCAGAGGCGAGCAAGAGCACACTTTCGTGTTTAGATTGGTGAACGAAAAGGCCTGCAAGCATTTATGGAAGTGCGCGGTGGAGCATCATGCTTTTTTTCGTCTACGTGCACCGGTCAAAGGAACCAGCGGTCGCCAGAACTTTTTCCGTATGGGTTCACGTTTCCGTTACAGCGGCAAAACGGAATTTCAGACGACGCAGCTGAATCGGGCGCGCCGCACTGTGCAATTCGAGAGACGACCGAGTCAAAGATATGCGCGAAGACAAAGTCACGTTCTTCGCGAAAGACAGCGTCAACAACAGGTAGAGCAGCCGCAACCTTCTCCACCTCCAGGTGAGCTGAAATATATTTTAGTTAGCATAGAGAATATCTCACACATATTTCGAAAGTTAACATTTTATTATTAAACTTTATTTATTATTAAAAAAAAAGAAATTTTCGCAAGCTGCTTAAAAATGCGAAATAAAATATTGTATTTCAATTTATTTGAACTAAATTATATTTTGAGAATATTTTGAAAAAATATTCTTTTATCGAGATTTTTTAAATATTTTAGATTTTGATAAGAGAAATATTTATATTTAAACTTTGACGTAAAAAAAGATCATCTAAACTATTAAGAATATTATTTCTTTGATTTTTTAATCTGTAATATTTCGAATATTATTTTTATATTATGTTTTTTAAAAATATTTTCAGCCGATGAAGAACCCTTGCAGCGTCAATCGAATCGATCCAGTACAAAATCTTCGAACTCCTCGAGTGTTCAGGGCACATCATCGCCTTTGGTAGATTCTCTGTTGAAGTCTCTCGCCAAAGATCAACAACCACTAGAGGCCAGGAACCAGACGACGGTCAGCAGTAGTGAGAAAGAGTCAGAACCTACGAAGACCAGTCTGACGGTTGAAACTATCACCAATCAAGTGCAGCTAGTGCCTAATAATCAAATGGGTGGAACATCGTCGTTACCTCCTCGAACACCAATTCCGCCGGAATCTCTAAAGTGCAATATATTGAAGGCTACTCTCGAGCAGGGGAAAAACTCGAATTTGGTCTCCATCACGTCCACAGAAAGCTCTGGAGTGATTCCAAAGAAAAATCAACACTCGGATGCGGCAACTATCGTTTCCGTGGTAAGCATCCTTAACTTTCATTTACAATTTTTTCTATTTTTATAGTTTTTGTCCTGCTTGAATCGTTTACATTGTACGTCTTTTGTGTATATTGATCGTATTTTTGATTGTGTACATTGATTGTATTCTTTTTTATTTTATATCTTTTTAAGATATTTTTGCCTTAGTAATATAACCTAACGTATTTTTTACATATGTATTGTAAAGTATAGTATTACAAAATATTTACAAACTTATGGGCAGCTTATTAATAAATTTGTCAAGATTATTATTCCGTTGCTGTTTATATTTATATTATTTATTATGTCTGCTTCATGCTAGACGCCAGCCATAATGTGTTTGCTTTCTTGCTTTCTTCATTAAATAGGGTGGTGATAAATTGACTCTCTCTGTGAGCGGAGCGACAACAGCAGTAAATCCTTCTATGGACGATGCTGTTACTGTAACGCATTTTTCGTTGGACAGTTGGGGACAGATCGAGCAAAAGACTACGTCGTTAAGCCCGAAAGTATCGAACCAACAATCGCAAAATCCTTTCAATCCGTTCACTAATGACAGCATCGATACGTCTAATACGGCCGAAGCTTCCGAGGAGGAAGCGAAACCGGAAGACGACAAGAAAAAGAACACCAATCCGTTCATAGACTCGAATCCATTCTTGGGTATTCTCAATCCCTTCAAAGATTTACAACCGGTTACAACAGAGAAAAAAGTCGAGGCGGATACAGAAAAAGCCGGAGCGCGGGTTGTTAAAACTGAGGAGATACAAACGACCACTACGACACTTACACACAAGGTCAGTTACATTTTTAACGCTTGCAATCTAACGTCTCGTCTATTACGTAAACGTCCTGGTTTCTCCAAGAACGGAAAACTTACTTTTAATATAAGTCTAAGAAACTTATCATTTAGCGCTAATCGTAAAAAGAAAGTAAGATTTTATTTTGTGGAAGTAAGTTGAACGTGTTGGTGAAAGCATAATAAGAATTTGCTTTATGTCCCACGTGAAAGTTGTGTGCATGTGAATAGTAAAGTATTAAATATTCTTCGAGTTTTTATAATTTGAACTATTCAAATTTGATTGTTAAAGATAGTTAATATAAATGACTACGATTAAATTATTAAACATTAATTCTATATAATGATAGTTTTTAAAAGTAATTATTATTAGCAATCCAGGAAAATTAATTCAGAGTAAAGCATTAAAAGTCGTATTTTGCAGGATGAAAGTCAAGCGGCATCAGACATTAGTCCTTGGTTAGTAGCGGATCCGTCGCAAAGCCCAGCACCTGATCAAACACCAACTAAGCATACAGTAATCACGAGAAAAACGGTAATTACCACACAGTTATAAAATATTTATTAAATATTACAAAGAAAAAAAATAATATCCATATACAACGCGCGAGAAAGTAGCACCAACGTACGACTATATATATTTACTTTGGTCTTCCTCGGACTGCCTATAGCTTTCTTTTTTTATTTGCTTTACAAAGTGCGTGATGTTAATCATGACAGTTAATCGTGACAATTAAAATTTGGCATGTAAAAAACTACATGTTAAAAAATAGTTATAAAAGGGTTCTAAGTTGTTACTTAAATATAAAAAGCAGAATACCATTTTGGGAAGGCATTACTTAAGTTACTACTGGGATATTTTTATGTCTAGTAGAACAGTCGTTTTATGCCGACTAAGAATTTGCATAATAAGGTAAGCTTTCTGTTTATAGCATCACGAACATTCCTTAATTGTATAATGCATTTATCTTAAGATTATGTGTTGATAAAAAAAGTGTCCTTATAATCTGCCAACATGTATTAGTAAGGTACGTATGCAAGGTTTATTCGCGTCAAACATTTTTTTACGTTTGTTTTTTGCAATTTTATGTTTTCTTTCTATTTGCAAAGAATAAATGTACTTTATTTCGTTTTAATTATGGAGTGCAGCTAAAACGGACAAACTTACGTATTTCGTGAGGTGAATATGTATTGCTCGTGTCTAAATATTAAGTCTATGCATTTATAAGATAGCATTTTTGTATTAGTAACCATTGTGCCTTCGAATTTAATGTGCGATGGACAAACATGCAATTATGCGAATATTAGAAACGAAAAAAATCATATTCGCTGTGACTGATTAAAAATATAAGTATTACATTTCCGTTATAATATCATATAAATTACGTAAATAATTGTGCTATATAAGTAGATTTGATCAAAACTTTTGAGAACACTATTGTCGATAACAAATTTTAGATTTGGTATAATTAATGACGTCAACTAATGATATTGATTCTATCTATTCTTTGTAAGATTTGTGGATAATATATTTATGTATTATAATAAATGAAAGAGACAATAATCGATAGATAAATAAAAAAATTAATACGCGAATCATCGCCAGTCTTAGGTAAAGCACAACTTGTGCCTCAAACATGCAGCTATAAAGATATTCATGTTTATTCCATGCCTACGAAATTATGAAATCGAATTTTTATGTATATATTTATATATATAGAATATATGTGTGTGTGTGTGCGCGCGCGCGCGCGTGCGTGCGTGTGTGTATGTGTATCGTATTATTAGCCTGAGATTTTTTTTCGTTATTTGTTCCTTTTTGTTTCGTATATTTTCTTTTC